TTTGCTTGGCAGGCTGGGTGTTGGAGCAGGCTGCCGGATGAGGACGGTGTTTGCCTGGGATCGCTGGCTATTAAAAACGGTAACAAACTTAAAATATCTGTAGCCGGCGGTTAACGCTTTCGGTGCAGGCCAGAGCCCCTCTACTCATAAAGAACAACAAGTTTTAAAATGGTCTTCGTGGATTTTTCTTTTTTTTTTCCCGTGTGTCTTTTAGCCTGAGAAATGACCCGGCCGCCTCCCCGAGCCTGGCACATTGTGCTGGCCACGTTCAAACGCGGGGTGCGGGCCGGCTGCCCGGGCGTTGTTCTTGTCCCCGCGTCTGCTGCTGTGTCCCCTCTGCTTAGCTTGAAAGAAAAAAATCTAATCCAATTAAGAAATTAAACCTTGTGTGTTTAAAAGTGACAAATTTGAAAGCGGGGGGGGAATGAGTAAGATTTCCAGGTCACTGGTTAACTAAAGATGGTTTGGAAAAAGAGCTGAGGAATAAGGCAGGGGCAGAGGGAAGGGAAGAAGGACCTTTTTAAATGGCAAAGGCTTGTACATCTCTCTGGAATTTAAACTGGTTTTTACGCTTGTAAAATCTTCTTGAAGTTGCGCATTTATCTCAGGAGGCTGCTTGCGAGCTAATCTTCTCAAGGCATGTCCTGATTTTTTTGTAACATTACAGTATCTGAGGTCCTTTTAACCTAATTTTGTAACAAAGATAATTTCTTGTTATGTAAGTTACTGTTCCAAATGATTGCTTTGGGTCGTGGAGATCGTCCTTACCCTGTCTCCTCTGTGCCGTAGAAACTGGAATTATTTACTTCGTTACCAATTCTTGAAAGAAAGCCTCACTCAACTGGAAAAGGCTGCTAAGGTATTACAGGAAGATAGAGTCTTCTCGTTCTTCTTTCTATGGAGTTAAATCTCTGGTCATCCCTGATCAGAATTTACTTCAGAGGTTTATGTTTATGTATAAATCCGATTTTCCCCATATATACAGACTTACAAGGACAAGCTGCTTGATTTATACACGCAGCATTAACTTCCTACAAGTGGCAGACTTCTAGTGCTCTCTTCAAGAATTTTCTTCTTTACTGGCAACAGTCCCCTAAAACTGCCCTGTGCCAAAGCCAAAAGGTACTAGCTTGGGCTGCCTGATTTTCTTTTCCAGATGAGATTAATGCTATAAAACAGGGAAGGCAGTATTTTATTTAGTTGGATACTGAGTTTTCACTAGTACAGTGATTTTTTTTTTTTTAATTTTTATTTTATTCGGAAGGCATGTTATTCTGAGTGAAACCTTAAGCCTTGTTTCTCAGAGAGGGGCAGCCTCTTCTCATAAACAAACGAAGGAGCAAAATAGATCCCGGTGTTATTCCATCGGGACACGCAGTCATCTGTTGGACCTTGTGGCCTGTGCTGGCTAAATCCAATAGCAGTGTCACGAGTAGCTCTGGTAGTTTGAAGTTAAAAAAGGGACTGGAGTGTGCTTCAGGTTCCAGTGGTAAACTACAGGCGTTTACAGAAGTTGATGTTTATTTTGCTCTGATTGTGCAACAGTGTTGCGATGTGAAGTGTGAACTTTCAGTAAGGGGTGCAAGTGTTAGTGTTTGCTGCTGCTGCTGCTTTTTAAACTGTTCAGGTGTTTAGTGGTGGTATTTTGACAAAAGTGGCAACGAAAAACGCCGCATTCTTCAGTGAGCCAGTCTGCGCTGTGTGGTACTTTTGGAAAGCACAGATGTGTATGTCATTTTCTGCCTTAAATCTTTTCTTTCTTTTTTTTTTTTTTTTTTGTTCCCTTGGCTCCCAGCGCCCTTGGGTTGAGTGACCCATAATAGCTGGGGATTGCGGTGTCTGGGTATATTTGAATATGAAGCAGTCTTTTTAAAACCCTTACAGAAGATTGAGTCCAGTAAATTATTTGTATCGTCGGAATAGGAAATGTAACCTGGTTAATTTTAATGACTTTATGAATTTACAAGATCTGCAGTCAGGCAGGTACAGGAATGTGTTGCGCCTTGCTTAATAGCATGTTTGAGCAAAGACTGGCGTTCTGCATCAGAAACTGAAATTTTAGGGTTTCTTTCAGTCTTTTGTCCCTCTGAATAAAGATAGAAATTCTGAACTAGGTAAAGAAACATATGGTTTTACCAGAAATTATTTCCTAGACTGATCAATTACTAGGAGATGTAATGAGGAATATACTCCTTAGGGAGAGGAAGGAGGGATTGCCATTACATAATATCCCTTGGGAGAATTTCTGTATCACGTAATGAGGTTGGTGATGGAGCATTTGGGGAAAATGCCTATGGATAAAAATTTGTTTTTCAGATTTCCATAAGCAAATCATATTACTGAAAAATAGGCTTGTTAAAAGTAGTGCTGATAGGTTAGTAGGTGGGTGCTTTGCCTCTGTGCACATTCCTTTTGTTCTCATAACTACTATGTAAGAGATTAGGTAAGCGTAAGATTAAAACGGCCACAAAATGAGAGATGCTGGTGAATAATTTCCTTATTATTTAGCACCAAGAGTAAACCATTAAGGGCTTATGTTCTGTTCGAGGCTTCATTAGATTATTTCTGTTCATCTATTGAAAATAGGTCCTAAGGAAGAGACAATCTCTAGCCTTAATGGTGTAAACATGAATGACCTTATCCTCATGCTGGTGAAAATGAAATTATAGAAATGCATAAATGTTGAACATTCGGTAAAACTTGGTAGCTGGATACGTGTTTTCGGAGTCCGCGTGACACCCGAAGGATTGCCTCGGAGCTGCAAGCGCTTGTTAAAAATGACTTAAATACAGCCTTGCGGTTTTAGTAGCGGTTGCCTTAAACGGGAAAAAGAATTCATTTCCACACACCTGCCCTTCAGCAGTTTTCCTGCCCGGAGCCCAGAGCCACCCGAAGGCCGAGCGGGAGGTGTTAAACCAGCGGGGGAAGAAGGGGAACAACCTTCACACCTCTGTCACTGCTGGGGAATTTGCCTAATTTGAGTTGCTCGTTTGAAATCCGAGCGCTGGTGGTTCTGGTAATTTTTCAAACGCCTTGCCCAGCTTTTTGTCCCTGGAGTTACAAACGCGTTGCAGCTTTGCGGGTTTTCTCCGGGAATCGCCTTTCCGTGGATTCCAGCAGCCGAGGGGACGCAGTGACCCCTGATGGCGGCTCCGGTAACCGAGGCAGGTCCGCGCGGCTCTGGCTGGTTCGGGGAGGCGGAAGGTGCGCGGGGCGCGGAGCGGCGCGCGCCGCCTTGTGGCTGCCGCGGCACATCGCGGGTGTCGAGGTGGGGCCGGGTTCCGTGGGACGGGCCCGAATTTAGCGGCTTCTTGACGGTTTATTTTGCATCTCGGTGTAGCGTCGGCTGTCTGTCCCGGCTCACCTCCCGTCGACTCGGTTGCGAGATCCCGATCCTCGGAAACGCGAACCAGAGCGGTGGCCGCTCGCTGCTGAGCGGTGCGTTGCTTTCGAAGTTTGAGGCGGGGCTCAGCTTTCCAAAAAGGTGGAAAATGGTGCGGGATTTAAGCAGTGAGAGTTCGCATAAAGGAATTAGTGATGGTTCTGCACCCCGTAGAAAAGGTCACCACCAAGGAAACCGAAAATATAGGTGACTGAGACTGGTAGAAGGACTTGACTGCAGATGGTGACGCCAGGGTGGTAATGTTCCTCACTGCCCTGTCCCGTTACCCTGCCAGAGTTTTACAGGTAGTGACCCCTGCGCTAACCATCTCAGAGGCACGGTTTAGCATGAGAGCATCTCTCAAGGTAGCTAACGTCACTTTAAATAGGAAGAATGGCACCCTGTGATCATTGGTTCTTGTAAACTTAAACTAGGACGGTGCTGTTGGCATAGATGTAGAGAAATTGGTTGCCCAGAACATCCATTTGTACCTTATATGGCTGCATTGAAAGGGTTAAATGTAAATAAAATGTGTATTCTTTAATACTATAAAAATAAGCCTTACTTTCTGGTGGGTGGGAGGAGAAGAGTTGAGAGTTTACATGAAGACATCATTTCAAGGTGGCTGTTTATGTTGTTACCAAGATATTTCTAGCTTGCTTACAAAATGAGATTTTTTTAAAAAATATTTTTAATTTTGCAAGTACTCAGCCTAGCTTATGTTCTTGTGGAAAAAATGGTACGGTTAAATTGTGGTGGAAGGTAGCTACAAGGTTTTTAATACTGAGTTAAAGCAAGCTGGGTACGTTGTTTTCCATAATGTTTCTGCGGGGGATAAGAAACATCTGTACGTGGATGCTGTTTCTGCAATAACTGCTACGCCAAAGGAGAATCAGGGACATAATGGGTATAAAATCTTGGGTCTTTTTTCCCATGGAATAATCAACAATAAAAAGCGTTTAGGCTACTAAGATACCTGCAAGTAGATCCTTACTCCAAAGCTGTAGGTTATAAAGTTGTAGTATAGTCTGCCTTCAAAATGGGTGGAAATCCTTCATAAATATCTCTCCACCACATCCTTCTGTCTCCCTGGATGATTGGCTCTCTAGCAAAGCCTTCCGTAGAGAGTGTACTGTAATCCTTTTATGTTACTTCTTCAGTGCAGATTACGCAGCAAGAAATAATTAGGAGATTAATTTTCACCTGTCACTGCCAATAATAGATAACCTTGATACAGTGACAGGGCTAGGAATTTGGGGAGCGGAGAAGCGTTTAACCCTGTGGCGATTGCTGCAGGGACCAGGCAGAAAATGGTTGCCAGAACATGACCTCCCTGCTCGCTGTCACGAAAAGGGAGAGACGTGTTAGTCTTTCGGCTTCCTTGTCTCCCGCGAACGCTTTGCCTTTATCCGCGAACGTGCGCTGTAAAATTCGCTCTGTGCCGCAACGGTGCCGCACGCGCCTCGTGCTAATCAGCCCGGAGCAGACGTCGGAGACCTTTGTAGCCTGGTCTTTTAATTCAAATGCAGTTCTGTTGCTTTTCATGATTTCAATTCCCAATCTGACTGGTATTCCTAGACTGCTAGGGAAAGGAGCAAACTAATGAAGATGGCTTCATTAGGCAGAGTGCAATTTAGTCCTTGCTTCTCTCCAACAAACGCAGCTGAAAAAACATCCCAGAAGTAACTGTGCTTTTGGTCTTCAGAGAAAGCAGAGCTGAGGTGTTTCTGCTCCCTTTCAAAATTAATTACTAGCTCGCATCAGGTGAGCTTAAAAATACAGCCTGTGCTCTAAGACAGCGAAGGTAAACGTGAAGGAAAAAACCCGACCACCTTTCCCCCTCTGCTTCTTTTTTATTTTTTTTTTCTTTTGTGCTGAAGTTTAAATCTACAATCTGTTGAAAATGTAATGGGAAACCAGCCTACAGAAAATGCCATTATTCATATCATCCTGAGCTCATTTATTTTATCTGCAATAGTAATGATAAGACAGGCTGCTTGGCAATGCTGATAAGCTGAGAAATATCTTAGAGCTATTTGTTAAAGTTAAAGCGGATCTTGGTACTGAGAGATAGGGAAACTGATGAGCCTTTGGGCAATCTGCAGAGCTGAAAGCTAATAAAGATTTTAATAGGAAGGCCTCATTAGGATTAGGGAGAAGATCTATTATCTGGGATTTACACAACACAAACGGTGCGGCAACTTTAATTTTTGCTTCTTTGTGCATTAAATACTGTTGCTGAATGTGAAGCCTTTTAACTCTGATCTGGATCTCTTCATACGTTCAAGGAGCCATCACCAGCTGTTGGCTGGCCAAAGATGAAGGGCAGTTTGTGTGGGAACGCGCTTATGGCACGTGAGAAGTGCCAGAAAGCCGTCGTGTTCAGGGGCCAGTCAACTTTTGGAGGTGCAGAAATAGAGTTGTTTGGTGGTGCCTGAGCTGGAGGTGTTCTCAGGAGTGTCTCTCTTCTGTTGTGAATGATATTTCTAATCTGTCTCTGAAGACAGCCTTCAGAAAGAAATTAACCCGTTGTTGTGCTGGTTCTCTTGATAGTGGCACTGAAATACTATTACTGGAGCAGATAGCTTCTCTGCCCAGTTCAGCCTACTGGGGTGCTAACTCCAAGTCTCACAGTGGTGGCTTTTGTATTAGTTGTGATCACCATATGGATAAAACTATTCTAGTAGAGGAGCTGTCTCCAGTGCAGCTGGAGTTGGTGTGGTAGGAGTACTGTGCCATGGGTAACCTGATTGAGTGGTTTGGGTGTTACACAGCGGGACTGATTTTAGCACTACGTGCGTTCTTACGTGTGCGATGTACAAAACGTTCACTTTGTGAGGACCCTTAGTGTGTGCAAACACCTATTGCACGGGCTCAGCTGTGTTATTCCTCGTACTTAGCAGGATACGTAAGCTGCTGAAAGAGCATTAGTTTAGCCAGGGTTTACAGATGTATTTGATTTTTTTTTTCAAGGACCATCCAGACTTTTTTTTGTGGTTGAACTGGATTGTAAATCAGGAGAAGCCATGCCGAAACATTCTTCAGTTTGCTTTTGAGGTCTGAGCCATGTTGTAACCTGTGTCTGCTAACGTGCAGCTTAAACCATTTTTACACACAGCTGATGAGATCTAGTTGAACCTCTAATGCAGGTGAAGGATTTTGTTAGGTGATATCCATGCTGGCTGTGAAATGCCACTTGTGTGACCACACCTGTATTTGGGAGCTGTCTGGTTTCTTCCTTGTGTGGAGCACACATGCGTACAGGAGTCTCAGTTTCTCCCCTGTTTTCATGGCACAGACCAACTTCTCTCCTGCTGCTGGGTCACATAACCCTAATGGTAACTACAGTAACGTTGATTCCATAGAAGAGGAATATTTGGAAAGTATATTCTTGTATTTTCAGTTGTCTTTAATACAGCGTAGCAGCCAAAAACCAGAAGTGAGCACAGCACCACGAGCCACAGAGGAGTCTATTGCAGACTGTAATTCAGGATCTGCTGGTTTAAACCGGTGGTTTCAAAGGGCTTAGAGTGGATAGTGTAATGATAGGTTTAACTCCAAGTATTCTATCTTCCATGTGCTCAAGGAACTTACTCAGAGCAGGTGCAGCTGTAATCCCCTCCCCTGTGCCCTCACCAGCATGGAGACAAGATGGGCAGGGCTGGAGGAAGGCACCCTGCACCTACTGCCCAGCTCAAACATGAATTTCCCATAGTGGGTTGGTGTCAGCTTATTGCAGCTTGTTCATAACAAGTCATAGTTTATGTCAGCGAACCAGTGTGGCCTCCTAAAGAACTAGCGCTATTTGCACGTAACATGTTGCTCCAGCAAGGCTGCCATTTGAGAAGTTTCTAATATTTATGTTTGATATGAATGAAACTTTTTGTTTTGTCTGTAGACCGCAACGGAACTGGAGCTGACTCGTATCAGGAGTGCCTTGATAACAAGCAAGGTATGAGATCAAGTCTCTCCAACATGGGCACTTGGGACTGATTTAGCTTGATTTCTTGCAGCTGAATTGGTTGCTGTCTCTGTCTCTCTCACTCTCTCTGTCTCCCTTCCTTTTATTTTCTTCCCACCCCCACTGTCTCCAAGCCAATTCACTGTTAACAGTTCCATGCCAGCTAACCCAATAGCTCAGGGTCTCATTACACATTTGTGATAAGGCTTCTCGTTTATAGCACCCCAAACCCTCTGTTATTAAGGGAGGAAGTGGGAAGGTTGTAAAACAAAAGTAGCACATGCACTTGCTTGCTTGCAGTTATCTTCTTCCTTGACGTTTAGTTGCACAGCCAAGCAGAAAAATGTTAAAGTTGAGTTAAGGGAAGGCACGTGCTAGGCTGGGTTACCTTAGTGCCAGACCTCCTGTGATAATTTGTGTCACACTGACTCAGACTTACCCAGCCTGCTGTCTTCTCCTGCTGGAAAAGTCTCTTGTGACTTACAAGGGAGTGATGATGAGGGAGGAACCTGTTGTCTTTTTACTGTAAGCATGGAAAGAAGAGCCACATCAGTAGAAAAGGCAATTATAAAGGTATCTCAGAAACAAGACCCAAAGGCAAGGGTTGTCGATTTTTTTATTTAGAAAAAAGATTGGTGTATTATGTTCTCTTCAGATGTCCTCTCTGAGAACTGCAGTCAGAAGTGCTACTCCATCGCCATAGCCATGTAGCGAGTGTCAAACCTTCTGGTAATCAGGGAGAACAAGCACCCTTCAGTCTGGAATTTCATTCATTATGAGCTACAGCAAAGAGATAAGAGGAAATGCTTATTCTAACCAGGTTATAGGCAGCAGTTACCTGTCAGCTTTTTACCCTGCTATTGACCCAGATCTGTGACAGTAGCTAAAATGATCATTTGCTGAAATTCTGATCCTTCTTGCATAATTTTCTAAAGTAGTACCAAGAAACACAAAAAAAAATGTCCTAATTTTGGTGCTTGATTTGGTTTAATTTTCCACTGGTGTCTTCACGTTCAGTATCCATCAGTCAGTGTTACGTGTGCTTCAAGTCAAAGCTGCTGTGAAGTGCGTTCCTCCTGCTGTTGTTGAGTTTGGGCTGGGATTATTTTGGGGGTTTGGGGTGTTTGTTTCTTTTGTTTGCCTCCCTCCCCTAGAAAAGAAGTATATTGTTTTTCTGGTGACCTTTACACTCATCTTTTTTCACTATTTTTCTCTACATGATTGTAGTAAATACCTAATCACTGATAAGCTTTCATTTCAGAAGTTACAACTGGAAGACTAATGTGGAAGAACTGTGATCAGTGGCTTTTTTATTAGATGAAGTTTAAAAGTCTTCCAGACCAATGTAATTCAGGATGCTCCTTTGATAGATAGATAGATAGTTCGTTCTTTGGGAGAGCAGTTTTTTCTAGTTGGCTACAAAGGATTTGTTCCATTTGTTGTTTTGTAGAAAGCAACTGAGTTTCATGTTTTTAAAAAAATGGAGTATTCCCATTTTTTGAAACTAATTGCAGCCCCTTTGATGTGCCAGTAGCCCTGGCTTCTCTGACAGGTGGTATTAAACAGTGTTAGTACATCACTTTTGTTTGTCTGTCAGTACTCTAGATTTTTCTTGCAGTGTGTTTTTTTTCTGGATTTCTTTGACTTAGTTGTTAACACATGAACAAGCTGTATCGTTATAAATGCTTTCAATCCAGTATGAATTGGGTCTGGTTGGGTAATCTGCCATGTTCCTGCTACATCATCAGGTTTAAAGCAACAACCTTTAAGAATGCAGAGGTTTAAAGGTAAAAGTATACACCGTAACTTGTAGTCAGTCCCTTACTGTCCAATCCACGTTACCTCTTGTGAGCACGCAGTAGAGTTGAATCCACCTTTTGCAACAGTTTACAGAATGTGAAATATATAGCTGACAGCAGACCCATAATTCTGGTAGCTTTCTGTTATGTTCAAAACAGAACACCACCGTGGCTGAAAGTAGCAGTGACTCTTTAAAAGTATTAAATCTTCCAGCCATGTGAAATGCAATTGCCATGGCTTCTTTTTATAACAGCATGCTTGTCTCCTAGAAATTATGCTATAATGAGGTTTGGTTTATATATTTTACCCCTTTCCTCATTAAAGTGCTATCTCTCGGAAGAAGCGCTTTGTGTCTTGAAATACTGCGCGGTTAAAATGAAGGCAGGTTTATAAGGATTTAATGTACTTGGGAGCCAAGGTTTTGCAGCTTTATGGCAAAGATGCTTTAACAAAGGGCTTTATGGTAAGGGTGTGCTGTATTTTAGTCAGGCAGTTGCTCAAGGGAAAATTTTCAGTGTGAGCACGTCACGGCAGCAAGGAGGAATTCAGAAGGAGACAGGCCTCTGAGATCCAGTCGCCGTCTTGGCTGATATTAAGTCTTAATTCTTTGCAATTTCATGCCCTGAATTTTTTTAACCTCTTGGCTCGAGGAAGACAGTGTCGTGCACCACGTCATGCAACAACACGAGCAGGTCGTTTAGGTTTCTCATTTTAGTGCTCAAAGGCAGGGTGCAGGAGAGCGCACCCAGGACAGCCACACCTTCTCAAGACAAAACTTTTTCAGCCTTTTATCTCCAATATTCATTATTAAAATCATACCCTGAAAGTGAGACTTTCTGAGTGTTTGGGATTTGGAAGTGAAGAGGGCAGCAGTTCAGAGCAGTTGCCCATCCACCACAGTGGAAGATGTGTCCTGGATCTGCCTGTTTCTTTGGGATACAGTTAATACCCCATGGTTTCCTCAGAGCCAGGGGGTTCTGCCATGGAAAACAGGTATAAAATTACAACCAGACACAGTGTTGCTGGAGCTTCTCAATAGGAACTTGCTGTTATTATGAATAGAACAATTCTGGTTTAAATGTTAGGCAATGAAAAGCACTTAGCTAGGGCCTTGGTGGCAGCCAGGAGACATAACCTCACATCCTTGAAACAGCGTGTAGAAAGATGGTCTGGGAAACCAGTGCAGAGTATTGTGTGTTACCATTTGTAGCACCTTCTCTTATCCATAGAGAATAATGATTTACTTTGCTTCAGCAGTCTGCTCTCCATCCCCATGCCCTCAGGTGGGCTGGTAATGGGTATTTCACTCTGCTGGGCACTGGCTTTCCAAGCAGAGCTACAGGTTCCTGCTAGAGGAACCCAATACCTTTCACTTTTCCAACTTTCTCTTTCTTGCAGAGTATCATGGTTCTGTGTTATTTCCCCACAGATGAATTAGTTGATATTTTTCCAAGATGAACGTGGTTCCACCTTTCTGATGGCACTATCGACTTCCTAGGACTCTTTATATTTCTTTTTGGGTATTTTACACCACCTCCTAAATTCAGTACTGCTTATTGATTTTGTTAGCTCACCTCTAGAGGGAGGACGAATGTAATTTGGAGCAACGTTTGGGAGCAAGGACAGAGGGTAGTTCATCTTGACAGCGATCAAAATTTGGGTGCAGTAGAGGCGATAGCAGTGCCTCTGTCCTGAGGTTATGGAGGACTGATTGCTCCTGCCCTGCGTTTGTGCTGTGAGTGGATCTCAGCCGTGTTGCCGAACAGTCTTTACAGGGATGGTGTCGGTAGGATCAGGCTTGATTTTGAAATAGTGGCTGTAAACCAAAGACTTTCCATCGTGTTGCCAGTCCCCTGGGCCATGCAGTCCCAGTGTGTGTCATCTCCTATTAGTCTTGATGCAACCAATGACCTTGTTTGTGTGAGCATATTAAGCACAACATTAATGTCTAATTTGACTACTTTGAATTCAGGGAGGCTATAATCAATCACCTGAGCTCTCTTGACAGTGAATATGGCTGGATGGGATAAGGAGAACAGATAAAATGCAGGCTTGGGCCAAAACTCTAGGAAACTGGAAAACTACTTGTGAATCTGTGTAGCCAACTTAACTGTAGCTGTTGGTGGAAATGGGTTCTTCACTGGAAAGCAAAAGCATGAAATTAGTGCTCTTTGTAGAGGTCTGTTCAGCCTTCTTCCTGCCTGCTAAGTACCGGCACAGTAAACAAGACCACCAAGATATAGAGGCACCTTTTAGAAGATGTCACTGGGAGAAGTTTTAACCTATTCCTGTTTTTGCATCCCTTTTGAACCCCAGCAAGGTTATTTTCAGAGTGGCAAAGCTGAATTAAGAGGCAGATAAACAAAAATGGCAGACTGGCATGGCTGGGTTAAAAAGTGCAGTCGAAACAGTTCTGTCACTGAAAATGTTATTTCCGTTAAATGTTTTCAGATTTAATATTGATTTCAGTGAAATTACCCTTTGAAACAGATTTCCTCCGAACCTTTATTTTCATGTATTTGTTTTGGAACTACTTTAGGAGGTGGAAAAATGAAACTTTTGCTTCAAACAGTTTTTATGTTTTGAAATTGGCTTTTTTCACTGTACGAACAGCTTTTAAAATATTATTTATTATTTGTATTCCAGTCGTGCCTATGCACACTGGTTATGGGCTAAACGTCATTTTGCTAACCACAACGCAGACTGGGGGGGGGGGGG